AATACCTGTATTGTTGTAATGCAAAACAGTCATATTATGTGTTTCTAAAAACACACAGCATTGAGATGAAGACTTGTTTGATATCTGCTGGTGACCAGAGTTATATGCAAAAACGCTATGTGAATAAATAAACAATTAATTATATAGTTATCAGCTAAGGACCTCTTTAATTGTTTATATATTTTATGTAACTTTTTTCATGTAATCAAAATATCACTTAGGAAATTACTTATTAAAACAACATGATAAACAAACTTAAACATTTTAAGTATCTCAACAGACACCTTGCACCACTTTTACCTAGTTCCATAAAATTCAAATCTAATAGGTCCATCAAAATAATTCAAATTAAATATTTTAGATAACCATAGGCATAAATTTCTCTGAAAAGATAATAATTACTTACACCCTGTGTAATAACACATAAATAATTCAATTTTTAATTATAAACGAAAACCGAAAATTGAAATCAATTATTACTTTATAATATTAAGCAGTCTTAAAATTATTATATAATAAATCAGTCCAATCACTGTTAGAAGTGAAGGATTTATTTACTTATCTATAGTAAAATTTCTTAAACGTTTCTAAACATCTCTCTAGCTCTAGAATCTCCTCTATTTGTCTATTGTTTAGCCATCTCCGCGATGCTACAGTAGACTTGATGTTTCCTGAGGACTCATCTATTTTGGCCTGCCTAAACACTGAATGCAGGCACCCGGAAGTGACAGGTTCTGCCGACTTCACTTGTCCTGTAACTGTGATAAAAAGACATTGCAAATCCTTTCCCATCGTGCATCTGACGTCCGAGGCCATCTGCGAGCCCATCTGCGAGCAGGGATGTAAGGAGCTAACCAGATGGTCTAAGTTACTGAGCCAGTCTCAGAACCAAACCCTGGTTAAAATATTATGGTATTTTCTGCCTCCTTAATTAACTCTATCATTAGAAAGTCCCAGAAGAGTTAGATCATGCCACCTACAGCCTGAAGCTAGTAACAATATTAAGGCTGTCTCTCTACCCTTATGAAACAATGAATCAGAACATGATGTTGAATTCAACCAGTTAAATAACATATTAACATCCCATATGGGCAGTTTAGCTTCTTGTGGTTTAGAAAATTAAATTTCTTTTAAAACCTGATGAATTAATAAGCTTTTTGGTAGATTCTCAATTGTGGCTGAACAATAAGTAGATATGGCTAATTTATGTTATAAAACCATTCTGTATGCTAACTTATTCTCTACATGAAGCTTAGCTAACAATCTGGCTACATCCTTCATTTCTAGACTTTAACTATTGACATTGTTATCCCGGCACCATAATAACCATCTTTTTAATGGAGTACTGGAAGAATTCAATGCAGCTCGGCACCAACTCCATTGAAATAGTTGCTTTTTATCCTTTCTCCACTCTAATATTTGGGCTGGCCACCCCAATTTTTTAAGCCTGAAAATTAACTGAATTAACTTGTCTACTTGTGGTGGGCTTGTTACTGTCATCTCATCAACAAGAACCTTCCGCAGGTTTTAAAATTTCTCATAAAAAGAATTTAAATTAAAATCTTTTGGATTGACTACAGCCCAATCAAGTATTGATTGTAAACTCTTTCTTAATAATTGTCTCTGCTCCCTAGTAGATAGCCCAACTATTAAGAGTTCTGTAGAAGCAATTTTTTTTCTTAATTTATTGAAATGACCCTAACTCATTATCAACTTTTAAACCTATAAACCCAGTAAAACCTAGACTATTCTGCCCTAGTTTCTTATCTTTAATAATCTTTCAAGCTAGGGAATAAAACCACTGTAGTTTATTTAATTAAGAAAAACATTATCTATCAATAGGTTGAACAATGCTTTTGATGGCAAATTCAGTACCTTAACTATCAAAAATTAATAATGTTTCTGGTAATACATTGGTTGACAGTTGATTATAATTAATAATAAATTTCTCAGAATTAGCGCTACTACTCTATCTTATGTATACAAATACATATAAGCTGGTAATTGTGTTAAATATTTAATATATGTACTTATAGCACATCTGAGATTAAAGTAGGTATATACCTACCATAGTATCTAAATTTCACTTATGCGTTCTACGACGTTTATTATGCATGGGTAAAGCCAAGCCCTCCTCAACCTCCGAGAAAGAGAAGGAGCCGGTCCCTGAAGCTGGAGAGGTCAAGGTCGAGACATGTTCTCCCTCCAGAGCAATTGACTTCCGACCGACTTTCACGTCGTCGTTACGCATAGGTTCCATGTTTTAAAAATATTAACAATGCTTACCAATCTCCTTTTTACACATAAAATTCACTAAAAATTCACCTAAAACTTAATTTACATCGACTTTCTAACTCTTCGATGTAAACTTTTTCAAATCCCAAAACTCTATGACACTTGACAGCGGAAAAGGCGGCAAGCAGATACCTGCGCAGATGCCTGCGCCCTCTGGTAACCTAATTATCAAACTTTATTGGATTCAGGTATGTTTTAATCTGTATTCTCGATAGTTTTGACAGATCACAGAGCTGCTTTCTTCATCTCAATGCTGTGTGTTTTTGGAGACACATAATAACTTCCTATATCAAAATCCGTTCAGTAGTTTTTGCGTGAAAGTGTAATGAACATATGTACGTTCATACATCCTTACAATCTACACAATTTATAATATACAGGGATGGGACATAGAAAGAAAAGTACCTAAAATGTTAAAGTTATCTTAACTGAAAGGAAACATTGCTTTATTTTTAAAAATAATAATAATTGCATTATATTTTTTTTAAAAGGATTCCTGAATAGGCAATTGAACCAACTAAAAATACAGTAATTTTATTTTTTTATTTTTTTTAGTTAGTGTGTATTTACACAGGTTAAAATCTCTCGAACAAACACTATTTCTTACAATTAAAGAAAACCATGAAATCTTACAATTTGTACATTTGGACTTTAACATCGTGGAAAATGAAAAGGTACACGGGACCATGAAAATGTACTGAAAATATTGATTTTTACTTGAAGTAAACATTTTTTTTTATAAAATACGAATAACTGTATTTTTTTAAAGAGGTAACCTGTTCAATTATCAGTTCATGTAAGCTTTTTTAAAAAAATGTCTCGTTTGAGTAAAACTTGGTAACTTTAAATTTTACTTCCATGTTCCATACATTTGTTCCACACTGTATAGTAGAATTTCATAAAAAGTAATACCTACGACTGAATGAAATATTATGAATACATAAAGGATTTTAATAAAACAGAGACTGTTGTGTATGATATTGTTTTCTGCAATAAATATACACAATGATTTCAATTAAAGTTTATATTTAATTAAAGGAAAAACAAAAACGAGATAACAAATTTTAAAACGTTTATTCAACACCAAAAACACACTTTAATATAGCAATTAGCGCATACATTTCTGATACATTTCCGACATTTTGTAGTTACATTATTATTATTATTATTTACTAGCATTGCCCGCGGCTCCGCCCGCGTTCAGATTACCAAAAACCAAATTCTTAGGTTTTACATATTATATTAGTACAAAGTTTTAAATACATGTAGTAAAGTCATTGTAGAGCTAGGGTTTTTCAAAATTATATTATACAAAATAGTTCTTTTACGTAGAAAATAATTTTGGTAAGGTATTTTAACACTAAATAAGTAACTTTAGTAAGAATATTTTATAGTAATTAAATGTTGCTGTAGGGCAATAAGGCAATAATATTACATCATGTAATCGAATTGACTTATTTAAAACCCCCATGCTCTCAGTCTATTATATTTCACAATACCTTAAAAATATTAAAATTTTAATATTTAAAAGAAATAGAAACCGTATTTCATTATACACACGAAGGGTTCTGGACTACCGGTTTATGAGATACGGCCCTCTGTCAGACAGACAAATGGACGGTCGGACAGCAGAGGCTTAGTAATATGGTTCCGTTGGCATCGGGTACGGACCCTAAAAATTATGTCTTTATAAAACTGTTAAGGTACTTAACTACATTTGCTTTGGGTATACTATGAAAATGTTTTTCTGTATTTACTCAAATTATTCTATACATCTCTATTAAAAAAATTGTGTCTAATACGAAAGAAGATTGCTTGCTGCATAGTTGAGAATGTTGAGATGGATATGTGAAGCGATGAGAATGCATTAAATAAGGAATGAGTAGATATGAGGAAGCTTGAAAGTATTGACAGAAAATTTGACAAGAGCCGTCTGAGTTGTTATAGACTAGAAACTATGATAGAGAGAGTAATGAAAATGAATGTAGATGGATGGAGAGGAGACCGAAGACAAGATGAATAGATTTTGTGAGACTGGGTGTTAAAAGAGAAAGGGTTGTGAATCACAAGGTAATGAATAATAGGGCAGAGTGCAAAATTATTTGGGAAATGAACAGACTGTTTTATTATTTTTCCGTAAAAAATATTTTATTATTTTGAAAATGGATTTCCAAATGTAGTACTAGTAACGAAGCAGTAGAAAGCAGTAAAAGTAATGTAGAACTATAGCAATTGTACAACAATGCGAAATAGTATCTTTGCAAATGTAAGCGCAATACATTATGGCACTTAAGATTACGTATTTAAAAAGTTCATCTCGAACTTTAATCAATTTACAAACATAACAAACATAATTTTTACGTCCTCATTTATATTATGTAAATAAACAAGTAAAATAGTAACAATGATTTACTTACTAATAATGACTAAGAAACAAAATAGATTTTAACTCCTAGAATTTATACAATAGTAGGTACATATTATTTTTAACTTAATTTAGACCATTTTTTTGAAAGTCCTTAATTTAAAAAAATATTTTTTAATTCTCTGATTACTGGTATTCTATAATAACTGGCAACTTCAAAGTTATCTAATTATAACATATCTAGTTCTAAATATAATTTGGTTTATTCATTTATAAAACTAAAAATTCTTCTTTAATGTATAAATATTTAAACGAGTTTATAAAACTTTCCCCTATGTCACCTTTTTCCTTTTAACCAATCTTCTTTTATTAAATCGGAGCCTTTTTCTCCGATCATTATTACAGCAGCATTAGTATTTCCACTGACTATAGTGGGCATTATACTAGCGTCTATCACTCTCAGTCCTTCAACACCGTGGATTCTCAATCTTGGATCGACTACGGCTTCTGGATCCCATGATGGTCCCATCTTCGCTGTGCCGCATTGATGATATATCGTCATACTTATCGTCCTCACTTGACATTCTATATATTCATCTGACATGAATTTATGTTGCTTGCAATTTGGCAGTGGTTTCATGTATAATCTAGAACCAAATTGTTTAAATGGAGATGCATTGGCGACTTGTACAGCTATTTTTATACCTTCTATAAGTCGATTTACGTCTAAACGGTCTTCATGATACCGCGGGTTCATTATAGGATAATCGAATGGATTTGAGCTCCTTAATTTAACGTAACCTCTTGTATTAGGACGTAGCAAAAGTGGCATAATGGTCCAAGCATCTTTGTTTGCTATGGGTTTGTATACAGTGTCATAGATTTCGTCTGTAAGACCTAAAATTTTTCTAACAATTTGACCATTATCAGAAGAAAAAGAAGCTGGTGCCATATGAAATTGAATATCAGGCCATAAACCGGAACTGTTTGCATATTTTGTATTAACAAAAGCTATACCTTCTAGTCCGCCCAATGTTGTCATTGGACCTCTTTCATTTACCACGTAATTCATGGTAATAGGAAATGCTTGAAAACGGTTTTGCACAATAGAAACTGGCTTATCGACTAGAAATGTTAAACCTCCAACGCCTACGTGATCTTGTAAATTTTGTCCAACCGGTAAATCTTTTAACACACGTATTCCAATTTCTTTCAAATGTTCTTTTGGTCCTATTCCGGATAACATTAGCAGCTGTGGACTATTAATGGCACCAGCAGATAAGATAACTTCTTTTCTCGCATAAACTACCCTCTTCACTCCTCGTTTGACGTATTCTACTCCGTAAGCTTTCATTGTTATAGGATTAATTAGTACCCTTGTAGCTTGTGAATTTAAAGATATATCCAGATTCCGCCTAGTTCTTACGGGTCTTAAAAATGCTTTCGCTGTACTGCATCTAGATCCACGTCTAATTGTACCTTGGGCTATCATAAAACCAGTTTGTACAGCTCCATTAATATCTCTGTTTTCGTATCCAATTTCAACGCCAGACTCGACAAATGCGGCAACCAAAGGAGTCCTCCATGGAGCCTCTTGGACCGTTAAGTAACCTCCTCGACCGTGGTATTCATTTTTGGCTAAGTAGGGATTTCTATTATCCTCAGATTTAATAAAATATTTCAGTACATCTCTGTATGCCCATCCTGGGTTTCCAAAAGATTCCCATTGATCGAAATCATATCGATTTCCTCTTACGTAAATCATGTAGTTCAGTACGCTAGATCCACCCAGTACCTGAAATGACAATAATAAAAACTTTTTAACAAAAAAATAAAAAAAAATTGGCGGTAACGCTACTATGGTAAGTTACAACTTTAACAACAGATTCAAATCAAACTAACTTTGTAATGTTTTGATGTTAGTCCGTTATTTGTGTAAGAAATCTTACTAAAATTCAACAAAAAAATTACTAAAAAATATATAGAAATTGTAACGACTTAAAGTTTTATTAGTTAATTAATTTAGTTTAATACCTAGTCATTTTTATAAACATTATTTTATTAGGCACAGTCATAGTTTAAGCACAGCCAATCCATACATTCGTCTAAAGAAGACGTCTAGACGGTGCAATCTTAGGCGTCTGCCCACTACACCATATCATACCATGACCGTGAAAGGACCGTGTCAGGCAAAAAAAAACTTTGTTTTGAAACGTATGAGACTCTGTCCACTACTCACTAAACCGTTCCATCAATCCGGCGCAATCGTGATCATACGCATCAATAAGACCGTTATGTACGTGTATGAATGATACGCTGTTTATACGTTCTAGTGGGCATAGTAGTCCGTGCCATGCTCGTTTCCGTGCCTGATACGTTCATAGCACGGTCATGGACGATGGAGAGACGATGTAGTGGGCAGATACCTTTAGAGGGCGTGCAAGGGAAAGCGCTCCCGACCATTACACTTAATTTTAAGTGACAATTGGTTGGCTTTATAATTGCCACGAAATGTCACTGCAGCTTTAGCTTCAAAACATTTTGCAATGCAAATTGACATTTCTTTGACAACCCTTACATTTGACTACCTGCTGTATAGATTTTTATACAAGCTAAAGCATTTTGTTAACTTTATTTACCTTTCCTCTCGGCCAACTGCATCTCCGCTTTTTAAAACCTAAACAGGCATATGAAGTAGGCTCTGTCTTGTACTGCCAGTCCAGCTTCGTTAGTTGTAAGTAACCAGCTAATGAAGGGACATCCGTTATTTCATTTTCGTCAGGTCCTGTAATATGAAATGTATATTTGCTGTAATTTTTTTAGTAATAACCTCTTGCCTGAGTCCGTCGAGACTCTAGGATCACCAGTCTCATTACTTATGTATTTTATTTATAAAACTGACTACTCTATTAATATGATTTTTCAATTATATTAGCATAAAAAGTATTTTTTTAAAAGCAAGCTTTTATTCATATGTTGGAAATTATATATACCGTTGCTTTATTACTTTGGAAGTTTAATGGTAATTTTTTTTCGTATATTTCTTAAATATAGTTGTTACGTAGATGTAGTAGTTTCTATTTCTTGTTTTGCTGGTTTTTTTAATAATTTAAATACAAGGAAAACAGGAGATAAAAATATTATAAAAAATGTCACTTACCACTTTCTAATAATAGTGTATTCCAGTCTCTCACTTCTGTTAATCTATTCGCCACCACCGCACCAGCAGAACCTCCTCCAACGACTATGAAGTCGTATTCTTTTCTAGGGTCTCTATCGTGGACCTTTGCTTCGGGGTCGTATGAATTATAATTGTGATATGTAAAAGCTCCCAAGAGGAGCGGTATTAGCCAGAGACCAGTCACACTGACTGTTTTTAGCGCAGTTGACGCCAAAAGAACGTGAATACCCATCATTAAAGGATTGTATATTTTATGTTTATAAATTTTTTAGATATCTATATATGTATTTCTTTAGATATCTTTCTGTCACTGGGTTTTTCAATATAAGCTTTGGTTATAATGCTGTGACTAGGTCTATTTGCAGTCTTCGATGCCTATCTGGCGGTTTACTTCTTCGCATAACTTTGTTTACTCTGTGCGACGTTGGTAGACGCTGCGACATGTTAAAAGTCGCAGTTGCGTCTTGGAGGATGACGTTCACAATTTTGTATCTGAAATGAGAGATGTTAGGTTTATTGATTTTATTTATGTAAACATTTGCATTATTTACAATACAGTTTGTAGGACTGTAAACCTGAATCTTCAAAGCTACTGAATATATTGATCAAAAATATATCTGTTTTTAATTTACACTGTATATTATACAAAGAAAAAAACTCCTTAGTACGAGTAAAACATTTGAAGTCGGCTGAGGCACAATTCAATTAACAAACAAAAATTCTAAAAACAATTGTAGATTTACTCTTTCGATATCGTCAAATAGTACATTTTGACGTTTACTTAACATATTTAAGATTTTGGTGCAAATGGTAGAGCTATGTTATGTAAACAAAAATCATATTTGGTTAAAGATTTTTATTGGCCACTTTTAATGTTTTTTTTAAATAGACTAGTCACGATAAATCTCGTGACCCAACGTTGCATATTTGATTGGCATTGCTTGTCAAGCCGGAGATCGCAGATTAGATTGTCTTACGAAGCCCTTTTAAAAGCTTAGGATAAAATTTGTGTAATAAGTAGGTAATAGTACTAATAATATTATCGTTTTTTGTACTCCCAGTAAATAAGAGAGAAAACATAAATAAATAAAGATATGTGGCGATATATGTACTTATTACACTAATTTTATCTTATCACAATGTCTTAATTAAGGCCGAAAGTGAAGAGCGAGGAGGAATTAAATAGAGAATAAGAATGTTTTTATTAAACAATACTTTTTTTTATTTCAGGTATTTGCAAGAGTCGAAGAAGGACAAAAGATGATGTGGTATTCATCTATATGTATATAAAAGTGAGAGGGCACATTCACTCAGTGACTGACCACGAAATTTCGATATCTATCTGACCTATGAAACTGGACAGGTTATGGGTCGTCTCCTACGTTAGCTAAAAACGAATATTGCGACATGCCAAATTACGGCGCTTTAAAAGATTTTTTTAAAGTTTATATACAAGATAAAAAGTGAGTTAATCTGTTTGTCCATAATTTAACAACACGGGGGCAATCCTAGTAATTATATAAAAGGCCAAAATAGTTTTAATTCAAAAGTATAGCTAAAAGCAAGTTTGCTTTAAGTCATAGGTTTGAATTAAATTGTTTTTTAATGAATATTACATACGATCAAAATTTATACTAATATTTAATATCATAAAGAGGTAAAGTTTGTGAGTTTGTGATGTTGTAGGGGGTAATCTCTGGTTCTACTAAACTGATTTAGATGAAATTTGGTAAGAAGATAGTTTGCGACCCTGGGAAGGATATATAGAATACTTTTTATCCCGGAAATCATCAATTAAGGGGGTGAAAATGGGGATGAAAGTTTGTATTGGGAAGCAAGCTAGGGACGCATCTGAGCGAAGCAAGGATGAGTCGCTAGTACCAATATAAAATTAAAGAAATATTAGCTATTAATATTACTTTATTAAATTATATGCCACTGCCTCGGTGGTGTAGTGGCTACCATGTATGGCTACACACTCGGAGGTCCTGGGTTCGAGTCCCGGGTCGGCCAAGTTTAGTTATTGAGTTTTTCTGTATAGTAAGTTTCAGTAACAGGCCGGAGTTAGGAAGTTGGCGGTGTTTCACCCCCGTGCTTCGGATAGCACGTAAAGCCGTCGGCCGGAGTATGAGACCGGAGTATGAGAGTGACAGGAATAGAGAGTGCACTTGTGTCTGCGCGTGCACTTGTGCACTATAACATCTCCTGCGCAGTTAGCTAGTCTCAATAGATCGGCCGCCGTAGCCGGAATCGGCTAGGAGAACATCATCATCATCATCATCATTAAATTATGTGAGTTACTTATATAAAAAAAAACTTAATTGACGTATATCAATTAATGTACCATTTCATGAAAATCTCAATTTTCTTATAATAAAATAAAAGGAATAGCCGGAAATTTTCAATTAAAATTAACTCGCAATTTTTTACTTTTTATTCCTGTACGTCAAAATACATTCAATGAAAAGCAGGTTAGACTTAAATTACTCAAAACACAAGAACAATGCCACATTGTGTGTTGTTGGCTGACATAACCAGAGCGTGACGTTGATTTTGGTAATTCACCACGCGGTTATACTTCAACGTTATCTTATTGTAATCACTTAGAATAATCTATTTATAAAGCACACTTGCTATAGAAATAAAGTGAAGTGGTTTTAAACCCTGGGTCTTTACCTAGGGAATATGTTATATGCGTGTGACTTAAATAAAGGTGAAATATTTTTTTGTAATCTTTATTGCTTTTAAATTAAGCCTCTATCATTGATTAAGAAAATATTTATTAAATAATGCCAATATAGGTGGAAAATTCAAAGTAGTTAAAACGCACGCCATTGGTCAGACCGAATATGACGTCAAAGTATTATCATAACAGAGCGATTAGCGATTTTATCGTTATAAGTTAAAGTCGTCATTTTTCTATGTATGATAGTTTGACGTTATGCCAATCGCGCGAAATGACGGGCGATTAAAGTATCCGTATCGGTATGATATTTTTAGTTTTTTTATACTAAATTTTAGTTTTTTTGGCGCTGGATATTCTTTACAAATTATTGAATAACGATATTAGTTATTGTATAAAAAAAAATCACGTGTATTCCCTATTCTATGGTTCTAATGTACTAATCTACGGTGTAAGTGACCATCGCAAGGAGGCGACTACATGTTTGAGCAAAATTTCAAAAGATATGTATATGAAGTTCGCCAGTCTTAAACAATTTAACTAATTTTGGTAATCATGAATTCTTTGTAATACTGTAAATTGTTATAATAAATTCTGTAACTCAGTATTTAAAAGAGCAACTGTTGGGTTTTTCGCCGGTTCTTTTCAGCAGAACTGCTTTCCGAGCCGGTGGTAGCTTCCGCACCGACTGACTAATGACGATTATAAAATAAAATTAAGTGATGTTGCAAAAGTACTGAATATAAAAAAATATGCATGAAATATCTCGAAGTTCTATTAGTGTCATATACATGTTCTATTACGTATCTTATTTTTACTATTACATTATTACATTATTTTTTTGTTTGATACTAAACATAGTATGATGATGCGTAACTGACCTAGAATATAAAATCGCCCCGCCTCATCTTTGGTTTGACTTGAAGCAGTAATAGTTTTTATCTACGATAATTTGAGGCAGTGGCTAACGTAATTGATTTCTCTTTTATTTATTTTTTACTACAGTTAGACTTTTATATATTACATTTATGTTTTATATTACAACTAGTGGATCGAGATCCCACTGCAAGATTACTACGTTCATAGCGTATTTAATCCAAATCAATTTTTTATATACAATAATAAAAGGGACAATATGTTTTGACCGGGGTCCCTATTCAAATGTGCCCGCTATTATGTTTAATTAACTAAATAATAGTTGACTTTTCGGAATAAAAACGATGCATTTGCTATTACAATGAATTATACTCCACTTCACAGAACTATACGTAGAAATCTTGAAAAATGATAGCTGCCGTTGCGCATTTGGCCGCAACCTCTTCGCAGCCAGGTATAAGCGGGTCATATTTTGGTATGTTTATGCGTTCATAGCGTACATGCATCATTTATATATCAAATTAAAGCATTTTTTTTCTGTACCTGATAAACTACGTCTGCCTATGTAAAAGTGGCCGCAAAAGTGGTTGCGAGTCATTAAAAATGTTTTTGTTACATTTATACGTTCATGGCGTATGTTCATCATTTATATATCAAATTAAAGCAATTTTTTTATCTGTGCATGATAAAATACCTCTACCTATGTAAAAGTGGCCTCAAAGAAAAGAAAAGAAGGAAAGAATATAATATTAAATGTCATTTATCAGACAATAACAACGGAACTTTCATCACTATTTTCACCCTTTTAAGGGATGATTTACGGAATAAAAAGTATCCCATGTCCTTCCCAAGGAATCAAACTATCTTTTTACAAAATTTCATCTAAATCGGTTTCGTAGAACCAGAGATTACCCCTGACGACCTCACAAACTCACAAGCTTTACCTCTTTATAATATTAGTATACAATTACATATTAAAAATTCAAACGTGTTGAACAGGTTAGCAAGTTGCAAATGTCAGTTGCGTAGCGGCGCGGTGCCTTTAATTTATTGGTAAACAAATGTTATGTAAGCGGTTCTAATTGATATTGGTGGCATTAGGTGAAGGTTACTCGGACTTTCATCTGTGTTGTCACATGCGTGGTGATAACTGAATCTGCACTAATATTACAAAAAGGTAGTTTGTAAAATTGTAAGTTAATACTTTCTTAGATTTATGCGAATACATATTTGACATTTTAAATAACTATCTGGAGTCTCTGTTATGATCATAATTGCTGTAAACCTTTCGAAACATCTCGTTGGGAACTAAAAATCTAAATAAATCCGAAAAAAAAACCGAAAAGATAGTTTTATTTAAAATGTAAGTTTGTATGTTGGGGCATATCTTTGAAACGAATGATCCGATCCTGAAAATTGTTTGACTAATAGGATTGCATTACCGTAGAGTGCTACAAAAATGCATTTATTGAGTATTATTTCGATAAAAATTGGCCGTTGAGTTGCTTTATTGGTTTGAACTGCGTAAACATCTTGAAATAAAACGAATACATAAATGTATGGCAAAGTGAGTAGAGACGTCTAGGGATTGAACCCGAGGGTATTCTTAGTAATTTATGTAAATATATACATATAAAAATAAATAAGCCGCTAATACTTTTATTTTGGTAATA